GTCAGCTGTCAACTTCGCTGCATTGTGGAAACGTCAAACCAACTGTCACCGAGGTTATGTCAGCCAATATTGTGTACTTGGTGAGAGACCCACTTGGAGGCTGGCCACCACACAAACCCCGGGAGCGGGAAAGGGCCTCGCCTCCTTGGCGACAACACAAAAACAAGATCTGCTTTAGGAGCCTTTGCCAGAGTAAGCATTTAATATTTCACTACCCGGCTAAGTCGTTAAGATTAAAATTGATTCAGTTCTTTTGGAGCCATAAATGAAGACCGCTATAGTTTAATTAAATCATAGAGGTAACAGCAGCTTTACTGGCTTCATCAATTGAAGAACTATGATAACGAGATCCATAGCGAACCTCGTCTAGAAGCTTTGTTGTTGTTTTCGTTGCGTTGGGCAGACGCGCCAGCGAAACATCCCAGTGTGACGCAAACGTCTTTGTTTTGCTGGCCGGTGGACCGTGTTGGCCCATCATACTGGTAGGAAAAGTGCCCAGTGTGCCGCCGCCTTCAGTATGCATACTGAAGGAGGCGGCACACTCTTTATGTATTTCGTCATTAATTTGGGGAGCTGATAATTCGTCCCCTCCCCAAGAAATTCCTAAGTACGCCCCTGCCTTCTCTAGAGACCATTCAACGATATACGCTCCTGCCTTCTCTAGAGACCATTCAACGATATACGCCCCTGCCTTCTCTAGAAACCATTCAACGTTATACGCCCCTGCCTTCTCTAGAGACCATTCAACGTTATACGCCCCTGCCTTATCTAGAGACCATTCAACGATATACGCCCCTGCCTTCTCTAGAGACCATTCAACGATATACGCCCCTGCCTTCTCTAGAAACCATTCAACGTTATACGTCCCTGCCTTCTCTAGAAACCATTTAACGTTATACGTCCCTGCCTTCTCTAGAAACCATTCAACGTTATACGCCCCTGCCTTCTCTAGAGACCATTCAACGTTATACGCCCCTGCCTTCTCTAGAAACCATTCAACGTTATACGCCCCTGCCTTCTCCAGAGACCATTCAACGTTATACGCCCCTGCCTTCTCAAGAGACCATTCAACGTTATACGCCCCTGCCTTCTCAAGAGACCATTCAACGTTATACGCTCCTGCCTTCTCAAGAGACCATTCAACGTAACTGATAAGATACACGGACAAACACCCACCATCGTAGTTTGTAGGATAAAACCCCACTGGACAAAGTTCCACCACTAAAATTACAACAGCGAAAAAAAAAATGCACAAAATACCTTGGTACCTTAGGTTTGTCAGGATTTGGTTGCTTAAATTTGGTAAGGTTACGTTACTTAAGGTTCGCTATGTCCGGTTCACGTCAGTCAAATAATGGAAATTTAGTAGTAAAAATACCGATAACTACAGCAATAAATGCGATGATTATACAACATTCAGGATCTTTAAAACTTGTGTATTTATAAAAAAAAAAACTATCTTCAGTGGCGAAACGATACACTTATCAGTACAGTACTCCCAGACCCCGGAACTAAGGCCAAGCCGTATGTGATAAAAGTCGGAATATACGTAACGCAGATAAGTCCTGGAGAACGAGACTGCGTTCTGACCTGGTCGATGTGTCTGTTGAGTTGCTGGTTGCTTCGCCTTTCGGCAATTTCGGCCATGTCACTTGGGATATCAAGGTCAGATGAGGTTACACTACATTTTGGAGGAATAATATTAGGTGCAGGAAACGTGTTTGGGATAATGTGTTTGTGTTCGGTGACGGTTGGCAGCAGCGAATGATGTATGGATGGTGAGAGAGTGTGTGTGTGTGTTTACGAACAAATTCATTCATAGCAAGAACAAGTACATCAGCACAAATGAAAATAATGAAGAAAAAAACAGACGCGAGCAAAAGCAGATAAGTGACGAAGAAAAATAGTTACAAAACTAAAACCTTGGTGTGATAAGCACTCCACATTCCGGCTTTCATATCACTGGCATTGACCACCGAAAATCTACAGCAAAATCTTGCTTATCTGGATACTACTATATATGAAGAGCGTAGGGATGTCCCGCACTAGCAAGACTAAGTTGACAGCTCGGCCATACATACACCGGAGAGACAAGAAATTCCCATAAGGACGCTCCTCACGGTACCGGGCGGTGGCTCCCTCACCGTACCGGGCGGTGGCTCCCTCACCGTACCGGGCGGTGGCTCCCTCACCGTACCGGGCGGTGGCTCCCTCACCGTACCGGGCGGTGGCTCCCTCACCGTACCGGGCGGTGGCTCCCTCACCGTACCGGGCGGTGGCTCCCTCACCGTACCGGGCGGTGGCTCCCTCACCGTACCGGGCGGTGGCTCCCTCACCGTACCGGGCGGTGGCTCCCTCACCGTACCGGGCGGTGGCTCCCTCACCGTACCGGGCGGCTCCCTCACCGTACCGGACGGCGGCTCCCCACTCCTCTACCGGACGGCGGCTCCCTCAACGTACCGGACGGCGGCTCCCTCAGTCACCGTACCCGGACGGCAGCTCCCTCAACGTACCGGACGGCAGCTCCCTCACCGTACCGGACGGCAGCTCCCTCACCGTACCGGACGGCAGCTCCCTCACCGTACCGGACGGCAGCTCCCTCACCGTACCAGGCGGTAGCTCCCTCACCGTACCAGGCGGTAGCTCCCTCACCGTACCAGGCAGTTGCTCCCTCACTATACCAAACAGTACATTTTACCACTCCACGGAGTGCTTAAGTTACTATACTGTAATGTACCAGGAGTAGCACTATAAAATTCGTAGTGGGTCTGGGATAGTTGCTTAACGTCCATAACTTCAATTTCAATTGTTTATTCCTTGATAGAGGAAGCGGGATCCTTGTGCCGTCACTAGGTACCCCTATACAATAACACCAGAGTGTGGAGTTAACACGCAAATTTTAATGGAAATCTAACGTTAATGCTTTCTATATATGAAAGGTTGGCACTGATAATAAAGACCATATTCATCAGTATTAGTCACCAGGCCGGCCTCAGTTGGCAACTGCAACGTACTGTACACAAGGGTACGAGGCGGAATTGCCAACCCCACATTCTAATTAAATTTATTCAGCCACAATAGAAAATAGTAATGCATTAATTAAAAACACTACTGTATGTGATGCATGCTCTTGGTGACAGCTATATTTAGGCACAACTTCCTGCGGCAAATGTCAAGAACAACTCTGGGCCTTGATTATGGTTTGCTTTCTTCGTGAATCACAAAGACATTTGTTTTTATACACAATTCAAATCCGGTGGACTGTTAATGAATAAAACAAAACGGCAAATAAAAATAAATCATTATTGAACTATGTCCGACTTTATCTGGAATTAACCACTGAATGGCAATCATGCTTGGCAGTACTCAAATGGTTTCTTTCTGTTAAAATCAAACAGTTTAGAGACTTATCCATTCTCCTGAGGTGTTAAAATTAGTGTGACGTCACAAATACTTGTCGCCTCCTTAGCTAAGTGAGGCCAGTCCAGTGTGACCTACTTTCAAATCTTTTTTAACGATAACCCAAAGCATATTCTTGGTTGAAGAGGCCCACGATATAGGTAAAACTAGGTTATCACCTACACGGACTGCGCGTATGGCTGGCCTATCTACAGTATGCTGCCATATGATTGTCATTTTAACACCCATATGCCTTCATTTTACACTTAGGCTCGGTGTACATAAATCAGTATCATGCAGTTGGAAAAAATTCATTTTGTTCGACTGTATATACATTATTCCTAATTATCACTACTCATGGACATTTTCCACAATAATCTTGCCTTTCCACACCGTCAACCCCACATCCTTCCTTTACGACCTCCCATCTCCACACCCCCAACCATTAATTATTAGTCACAACGTCAACAACTTCCAAGGTCGGGCAGATGACGTCTCCACTGGCAGCAAGATGAGCTGTTGATGTTGGCGGGAATTAAATTGATGGTCTATTTCTACAGCATTGACGAGGAATATTATGTTCTTATGTGGGTGTGAGATGTGCAAAGACAGGGAAGCTGAACCATATTGATTTTTAAGCAATGTCTTCTTGCTTATATTTATTAGAAACGATTTCAAGCACAACACTCTTCAAACAAAATCTACTAAGTGTCCACAAGACACACACATGCTTATATGTAAATACAGTATACGAACGCGTGAACGTGTACACGACATCCTCGAACACCAACAGGCAACGATATTCACTCACACACACCATACCTGAAAATACACATTGTACTCACCGGACGAGTACAAAATATTTCTGGATATAGACGTGTAAACATACAGTACATCACTCACAGACAAACGACCAACACATTAACCACGTTTGGATCTGTGCCAGTCTTATAGGCTTTAATAACTGTTAAGATAAAAGTTATATCACCACTTACATAACATTGTCACTCAGAAAATTATCTTCCCGTACTTAGCATCTAATAAGCCCATACATGTGTACGTTTACTATGTTTCTAAATAGTGTTGTGTATTGTTTAATTCTGTGGGCTTGAGAAAAACAATTGTAGGTTTGAAAATCAATTTGATGCAGACCACAAAACTATACCTTAAGACCGATAGTTTACACTTTTCCTTGCTGAACGACCCCATATACACGCTACGCATCAACACACAGATACAGTACCTGTACAGCCCGTCAACTATAATAACTCAGCCAGCAGGTAAAAATTTCGTTTTTATCCCTATTGGGATAAAAACGAATATTAACTGGACGACCTAACCTACTATTGCCATAGATGAAAATCGACCCCTAACTAAATAAAGAATCCTAGTGATACTGGTAAAAAATCCGCAATACCTATTGGGATAAAAACGAACATTAACCGCCAGCGGAACTAAACAGAACCTTTTAACACTTTATTCATCTGGATTAAAATAAAGCAAGTACAAAAGAACAGAGCAAGCAAACCCATATTTTCGAAAATCAACTTTCCCCAATTCTCCCCCCATTGGCCCCACACAGTTAACACAGACGAGCTCACCTGCTCCAGCGAGAACTGGTATATGCTGTCATGTGTCCGCAGGTGTGGGTACACATCTGTTATCTCTGGTATGGGTGTAGTGGTAGCGGTTTCCCCAGTATGTGTGACCACGGGCTTAGCTGCCGAGGAGGAGGAAGATCTGAGAGGGTGTAGGAGGAACCCCCGTGTGGAGTGGCGGAGTGGAGCCCCCAGTGTCTGTTGGACAACTCGAGACACCAGCTGTAGTGGAACTAACGGCGGCATTCTGCTGGACGATGTTGACACCTGTGCTGCTCGACACGTGTGGCACCCTAACACTTGTGTAAACAATCTTTAAAAATACACAATCTTTCTTAACGTCAGCACCTTTTACCACCGAATTCGATATAACGATCGTTTCCTCCAGAGTTGGACGCAAGGTACTCGACACACACCCACCGCGCCGTGACGCCCAGGACTGACTGAACGAGATTCTTACAGCTTGCTTGTAGTATCATACACACACTGCCTCGTAACCCAGCGACCTACTGAGGCTGTTTCGATACGAATGACAAAGGGAATGCTACCCTTTAGCTAGGGTAAGACGGGTGGATATCGTTTGCTTCCTATAATGTTGATGTACAACGTCACAGTGCGCTAGCCAATCAGAAGCCTTGCACAGTTGCCGCCTCCGTAATCAGGCTTTGTGATTGGTCAGGTTCAACAGGTGATATATATATAAATATATATATATATATATATATATATATATATATATATATATATATATATATATATATATATATATTATATTTATATATATTATATATAAAATGCAAGTTCTTTATTGATATGTTATCTTCGTATTTAACAAACTGAAAGAAAATTAACAGGACCATATACTGGTGATGCAGCTGGAAAATATTAATTAAAAGAAAAAACACCTATACGCTGTGTATATCGTTGTTCGAAGGTCATCAAGTATTCGAAAGAGTTGCCAAGTTTGTCCACGTTGGCTATTGTCGTGCATTTTCTCATCCAGGCGTGTTACATATTGATAACCTATAATTATAAAGTTCGTCTTCTCCGTATTGTTTAATCAACTCACGAGTGAAATAAGATGATAATATTAATTGACTTATATTAACTTCCGCTAAACCCCCGATTCCTTCAACCCGGCGTCACCTATAACTGCCGCAAGAGTAGTTGTGACTTCAATAACGTGTTACAATGACTATAAAGTTTATTTTATAAGAATCGTTAAGTGCTTTTCAACCACACAAATGGTTATATTACATGGCTTTTGATTTAACTAAATAATGACACGGCACGAGTGACGTAGATAATTTTTCAGCATTAAATAATGCGTTATAAATAAGTTCAGTGACATGCGACTGTGGGAATTACTTATTTATTTTCAATTCTTGGACTCCGTTTTGTTCTTCATTTTGTATTTTCTCTTATCTTAATTTCATCACCACAGGGAGGGGTTCAAATCACTCACCTCACCTCAAACATCCACCTTTTACTCTCCAATATTTCTCCAACTGGTATGTAAATACATAACTACTACAGAAGTACTAGGACGAGTATTAGGATAATCCAAATAAAAGGGCTGGGAGATCACATCAGTAAGCTACAGTGTACATGCGTGCTACATTGCACATTACTGTACTAGGATTTTACGAGGCAGGTGCAGGAAAGGGGGAGGGGCAAGTCTCATGAGTCACAAGATAAGGTTATGTAATAGGATACTCTTTTTTATTTTCATTCACTTTTTTTAGCAAGCATATTATATTTATGGAGGGGGCATGGCAGCGCCCCATCCATATACGCTACTGGGTATGTTACAACTTACAGCCAAGCTGTGCAATAATTGCTTTTGTTATTTCGTGAAATTAATGTTTCTCTCAGTCATTTTACTGAACCCTAATGACTAAAGCCTTATTGTTCATTTCACTAAATTATTTGAAATGGTACTATTTTTGCACAATTTGACTGTCGAAAATTTCAGGTTAGGTTAGGTAAGGTTGTAGTTGTTAGGATTTCTCTAATTGACTTTGTGTAATATTAATTTTACAAAAGGACTAAAAATTTTAAATAATTTCATGAAATGATGAATACATAGCTTGACTATAACATATACAGTACAAGTCCACTGTATATATCTCTCAGAATTAGTTTACTTTTGCCTTTGCTTAAAACATTAGCAGTGTAGGGGTATCGATATATTAATGTTGTCTAGCACTCAGGATGGAAGGAAACTCTAATGTGGTTTTCTTGTATAATATAGTTATATGATAGACAGTCTGGTGCTGGAGGTGCCGTGTGGTGAGGAGCTGGCCAGTAGAGACGTTCAGTGAGTAGCTTGTTGTAGGAGGTAGATGTGCAGGAGCTTCGTTAGAGAAGATGTTGCCTGTTGCTGGCCTCCTGGTTGAATAAATGTTAACAGCGTGGAGCTTGCTGGAGGAGTTGTTGCTTGTTCAGGAAGATGGGCAGAATGAGAGTTGGTTGGTGAGGAAGCTCAGAGAAGGACAGCTGGTGGGTCGCCATGCTCGCTGGCGGGAGCGAGGGCCGCCAGGCAGGCGAGGAGAAGCGAAGGGAGCCAGGCAGTGGCAGAGGAGGAGGTGTTGCTTGTTCAAGAAGAATGGTCAAAATGAATCTCAATGGAGAGACAGAGCTTATATACCCAGCAGCAGCCGCTATGAGTCATGTTGGGAAAACCCAGAAGTCGCCGGTGAATAGTTTCGTTGCTAGGCAACGGCACGTTAGAATGTGATAGCAGGTGGTGACTGCTACGCAGTTTGTAGGGGAGACGTCCACTACAATACTCCCCCTTCCCTCCAGGCGGTGTAGGAGACTTGTTGATTGTAGAGTTGCTTAGCACATGTGAGGCAGACCGGGCGGTGCATGCCTCATGTGAGACAACGGCGATGGCGTGATGAGCCGATCGCTGAAATACAACTGTCTAGATACACACTATCTGTGGGAGAAGGGAGAAAAAGGGTGTGTGGAGGCGATGAATGTTGTGTGCTTCCCTCACGGCAGGTACTGAGTCGTCAGATGCGCCTGCTGGGGTGTGTGTGGGCCTGGGTCAGGAGCAGGGGCTGCGTCAGCAGAAGCAGATTAGGGCTCGTGACAGCAGCTGGGTCCACGACAGCAGCAGGGTGCAGGACATTAGCAGGGAGTACCTGAGGGAGAAAAGAGGGTGTGTGTGGGTCCGGATTCAGGAACAGAGGCCGCGTCAGGGGTTATTGCTGGGCCGGGGTCGGCGTCTGAGGCAGGACGGGTGTGCTGGGGTCGTCAGAATGTGGTGCGTGAGGCAGGAAGAGGAGCCGGTGTCTGCTTGAAGACTGGGAGCGTGATCAGTGTCTCCTCCATCCTGTGTGAGTGCTAATCTCCGGGAGTCACCATTGTAGGGGTATCGAGATATTAATGTTGTCTAGCACTCAGGATGGAAGGAAACTCTAATGTGGTATTCTTGTATATTATAAGTTATATGATAGACAGTCTGGTGCTGGAGGTGCAGAATGAGAATTGGTTGGTGAGGAAGCTCAGAGAAGGACAGCTGGTGGGTCGCCATGCTCGCTGGCGGAAGCGAGGACCACCAGGCAGGCGAGGAGGAGCTAAGGCAGCCAGGCAGCGGCGGAGGAGGAGGTGTTGCTAGTTCAAGAAGAATGGTCAGAATGAATCTCAATGGAGAGACAGAGCTTATATACCCAGCAGCAGCCGCTATGAGTCATGTTGGGAAAACCCAGAAGTCGCCGGTGAATAGTTTCGTTGCTAGGCAACGGCACGTTGGAATGTGATAGCAGGTGGTGACTGCTACGCAGTTTGTAGGGGAGACGTCCACTACAGCAGTATTACACCAAAGTCATAATATTGAGAGGTATACAGTAGATTCAGTTCACTATACCGTACGAAGGATTTCATACATTAGGGGGCAGTGTGGCAGGCCTTGTACACCAGGGCTGTCGGAATTTCCGACTCTTGTTTATCGAACACGCTGATTGGTTCAAATCTGGTACTTCGTCTGTTAATCGGTAAATTGATGACGTAGTCGGTAAGCCGTGACGTCACTGCTCCGACTGTCGGTAATAATTACCGACTTTAGGAAATATGCTTTTTCATGGCTAAAATACCATATAGAATATACAAAAATAAATTGTGGATGTATTTAAATACCTTACCTACATTTACTAGCGATATTTTAGCAGAACTAAAGTAATACAAATTACAATTGAAAAAATACAAATCAAATGTGATCTCATATAACACTCTGAATGGTGTATAATGCAGTGGTTATTATTCAGAAATTTATAAAACTAATGACAGGAACAATGAAATTCAGTGAGTATGATGACTACTCTAATATAATTACTGTATCTGGGATCTTCGTTACCCCTCACCACACATTATATTATAGAAAATCGTAATATTACGTCATGGACTCATGTTCTCGCAACCAATCACAACGCGAGCAGTTGAACCAATCAGCGTGTTTGGTAAACAAGAGTTGAAAATCGCGTCAGCCCTGTTGTACACTCTGAGGCAGTGACTGCAGGCCTTGTACACTCTGAGGCAGTGACTGCAGGCCTTGTACACTCTGAGGCAGTGTGGCAGGCTTTGCACACTAGGAAGCACTGTGGTCGGCACTCCATTCAATGGAATGGGGAAGCACTTAACTTTGATGAGTGTTATGGTGGTATGGACCAAATAAGTGTGTGAACGATCTTTGTACAAGTCCTACTGGTTTATTTGTTTGTTATATCTTTTTTCCATAACGGCCCAAGAACGTCAGCTCAATGTCAACATACACACCCGGACCTTTTTCACATTTGGTGTCAGTTACAGCATTGATACTCCCTCATCACGTTTGGACATATGACCTAGGTGCACCTTTTTTCTGCAGGCCTGCACTTCCCTTATGACTTGGTTCTCAAAAATTGGTACCCATGGAGGTGGATACCCCTTAACCCTTATACAGTATATGATGGACTAGAATAGTGACTCAATGCAGCCATGTTTTGAGCAATCTTCTTGATCGAATAAAATTTGTCTGGTTGGTAGAAACCGATAACAGTACTGTACTGTGTTATGAATGCCAACATTCCTTTTACAGCATCATTCATTTATTTTAGGGACTGCACTATGTACAGTGCTTGTACATCATCATGACACAACGGGGCCCAGGGATTTATCCCGGTTTCCCCACCCTCTCGGCGGCTCTGATGACACATAATTATAAAGTTGTACAGGACTTAACTCAGCGCCATCATAATAACAGTAAGGTAGTTCACAATGCCCTGCTTAGAAGACATACTTATGCTCATTAAGGAAACCAGAATCTTCAAGCTATGGCTTTCCCATTCCATCAAAATTCAATTTAGCTTCTTTTCTAATTCTCAATTTGCCTTTCACTCTGTAACTGATGATTGTTTTATTCATATCTGGTGAATAAAAAACAATCAACCCCAATTTAAATTTTAACCAATCAGTCAA